CCCTCAATGTATCAGAGGAAAATAAGAGACTTTCAAAACGCCCCTCCATCTGCACTGATAATTTACCTACATGTGAAATACGCTGTGCACACAACTTTCTCTTTCCAGCCTTCCTGCGCCGATTGTTGCGGTATATCTCTCCAGAGATTTAAGAACCTTCCTTTTGTCGGCTTTTAAAGTCTCAGCCGCTCGCAGTTCACGCATGAACTAAGGTTCTCTCTCAATGCCCATTAAACTGAGACCTAGCATAAAGAAACAGGTGCAGCTTGACTCCATACAGCCACAACAAATCACGCAGACAAGGACCACACAGGAAGGAGGGGAGGCCATTGGCCGAGAGGGGAAAAAGTGTCGCTAACTAGATCCATTAAATTAATTCCTTTCAAAAGCTTTCTTGCCCACGTTAAAGCGCTAAAAACGGCATTGAATCGAGGGTTTCCTGCTTTGGCCCACATCAGGTGCCGGGAAAGCTCCAAACCTGGAGCAATATGAAAGAGAAGTAATCCAGATTTGTCCTCAAAGCAGAGCAGCTAAATTATGTGACCAAAGGAAGTTGGTAACAAACAAAAACTGACATTGAAACCAAACAAGTTTACACCCCAATGCTCATATGTAATATTTGTTTCTGGGTGACAGAGCCAATTCGTTTTAGCAATTTGAGAATGAATGAAAGTGTTTACTCTGATGGACTGAACCGGTAGTCACCAAACACCTGCTGCTGATTTGCCATGGCTGAAAAGAGAGCTTTTTGTCTACTGAGAGAGAAGGGCTTTAAGGAATATAAATAGGTGAAAAATGGATCTACAGGCTCAGCAAAGAATAATGTAAATAGTTAACCAACAAATTTTAACTAATCGTAATTTTATTGTTGAAAAAAATAAAGTAGCTACATGTTAAAGTACATTAAAAAGCTTTCAAAAGGACATGCTTTCCTTCTGAGGACATACTTTCCACTGTCTAGCTAGTTGCTGAGAGAAAATCGCCCCTCCTGCCTGACTGGTACCTGTAAATATCTTCTTCCCCGGTGCATTGTTATATTAGACACAAAAAGTAACAAAGAACCCTAAGAAAAGCCACTAGGCAACAAATTGAAATGTAATCATAATTTGCTACAAATTTAAAAGCAAACAGAGCACGAACTGTCAAACAAACCAGACATAGTCCTTATTGCTGACATAATTCACTTCATTTAAAGCAGTTCTTTTGTGATGTGCTCCAATGGATGCTCCAAGCTTTTAAAGTCAATGATTTATCAGCAAGCATTTTAAGCAAAGCCCTGACCTATGAACTCACTCCCAGTCAGCTGAAAAGAATACTTCGGGTCTCCATTAAGGTCAGAACATTCATTCGTCAAGTCAGGGAAAGCAATTACACCACGACACCCGCAGATGAGACTTGACAGTGAGTTCTAGATCTTCAGATGAAACATTTCAGTTGGAATCTATTGAAAATGTTCATTTTAAAAATGACTACAATTTAGAGTTAATATAAGTAATATAGTTCATCAAACCATGACTGTATTGTCGGGATGCACGTTATTTTGGTACAATATCGTTTTTTTGACAGATTTAACTCTTTTTTAATTTATTGGTATCAGTCGATATTAGATATTTAATTGTGTATGATCTAGGGATGTCAATTTTCACAAATTCCCATGATCGATCATCGTTTAAATTAACGATCAATTAATCGATTAATCGTTAACTGCAATATGAGTCTGCTGCAGTGAATATGGCCAACAGCATGACAGCTCTGCAAATGCTGCTCAAACCGCTATATTCCTCACCAAATTAATGAGAATGGTTTTAATCTAAATAAAGGGCTAGTAGGAATGTAAAATGTTTCGATGTGATTGATAATTAAATACAGGGCTCGAATTTCGGCGCGGGATTGCGGGTATTGCGCATAATTCTAATAATTCCCACAGGTCTCCCATTTAAGGAAATTCCCGCAATCGTAATCCACACAGATTATAAAAATCAACCAAATCATTCTTTTAACAACTATCTGCCAGGCGCAATTTCACAAACAGCGTGAGTGTTCAGCGGTGCCGCGTCTTCTGTCTCTTCTCTCAAAATGTGTTGTGCAAGGAAAGCATCAAGCGCTGCGGCGACACTCGTGTTTAGGAGTCGGGACATGACGGAATATTCACTTGCACAATCGGGCCAGCAGTGCATCGTGACTGAAGTTTACCATTTGCACGTCTTTTTAAGTCTTACCAGTTTAAACATTCAAGCGATTTTAAACTAATCAGTGCTCGCACGCTCTCTAAGAGATTATTTTATATGCGCACATTCATAGAGAGTCCGCCTCAAAAACAGCTGGCCAGTAACAAAAGTTATTTTTCGCGGATTATATGCCTTAAAGCAACACCATGTGATTTTTCCTCAGCGGTCGCCCTACAGTTTGGAAGCAGAATTGTCCATTACTGCTGTCGTAAATAATTTAGCCTTCCGCAGCCGACTGTCGCACGCGCACGCTCGCTGTTTATCCAGCACCGGCTTTGGAATCAACAACGGCAGACATCCCAACCTGCAAGAAGTCATTTCAGGGAGGTATATCTTGGTGACTGGATTGTTGACGGGGGGGCGGGCGGCTGGTGGCGGGTTGACTAGCTTTCGTGAGGCACACTCGCAAGGTCTCTCGCTCTCTCTCTCTCTGCCATGCTCGCGCTATGTATGTTATGCGCGCAGTATGTTCTGCCTCGCATGCGCGCTCTAGATTCCGGCAGATCTGAACTAATTTGCGGGCATCAGGGAGACGCAGGAGACTCCCGGGAGACTTGGGATGTCTGCAATGGCCACAGACAATTTGAGGAAGTGGTGGGGGAAGTGACGTATGCCGTAAAGCAGTCGAATTTTGTAGTTCTTTTTGTGCACGGGTTCCTACCAGAAACCCGAAGTTACATAGTGCCAGTAAAAGCGATACAGACCACGTCAGGCTATGGCAGACGTGTCATTTAACTTATTTTAAGTCGATGTACCATCACAAGGGTCTTGGAAATATATTATGAAGGTTGAAAAACTACATAGTGTTACTTTAACATGCAAAATTGTGTCAATCTCGGTCTTCGTGAGTATACTCTAAACATAGTCGGTTTTGTCTTTTAATAAGCATAAAACGCATGCCAGTATAATGAACGCAGGATCCGTGCACTAGCTCATTAATTTAGTTGTCAAAACAACAAAAGATAGCTTTAAGTTAAAGGAATCAGGATTAATAGCCTATATATATTTAATTTATTCAGGACTAAAATACTACCCAGTGTTATTTTCCATTTGATTACTTTATTCAGTTTCTGTGGGCCTATATGAAGTTAGACCCATTGACAAACTTTTCTCTTTATTTGTCTTTATTTGTATCTTTATTCTATTGTATTTATTTGTGCTACTTTTTTCAATTTAATTAAACAATTTAAATCAAGCTTCCTTGTGTTGTGCAAACTCTTAACAACAATATTACCCCATTGTAAAAATGCAATGAGCGCAAACATTTCGGCAAGATAAATGTAATTTTTGTTTGGAAAAAATGCCCCCCGCCCTTCTCCCCCTAAAAAAATCCCCCCCCCCCCCCCCCCCCCCATTTTCCAAAACGAAATTCAGGCCCTGAATCAAATTAAATATTTCATAATCAAATATAACGACTAATACAACGTGTCACCAACGCCGCCTCAGATGCGCTTGTCAGAATGTGTGACTTGTGGACGCGTGCTCTTCCTGGAACAACGCACTTAAAACGGCAACTAAGCCCAATGAATTCACACCGATTTAATAAAATAGTGTTCTCATGTTATGTAATATGACAGTCCCAAATGAATCCTCGTTATTAGTCGTGCATTCTGCTTGAGCGGCGCGCGCTGAATGAATAACTAACCGTTGAGCACTTTGCTAGCACGTTATTTAACTCAAAGAAACGCATCCTATGAGATTAATCAGATATATACAAAATAAACATAATATTACAAATTATATCTGCACAAAATGACGTGAATGCACAAGTGAACTTGAACTAAATTAACGTTATGTGCCATTCAGAATGACTCATGTTGTGGATGCGCTCTTCCTGGAACAACGCGACACGGCAAGTAAACCCAAATAATTCACAATGTTTTATTACAATATTGTTCTCTTTATAATGTTATATAATATGACAGCCCCAATAGTCGTTATTAGTCGTGCATTGCCATTTGAGCTGCGCGCGCTAAAGATCACGCTGCGTCAATTCTTAACCAAATGCATCCAATATGAGGTAAATCAGATATAGATAGGCGCACACAAAATAAACTATTACAACTTACATTTGCACAAAACAAAAGGCAGCGAATGCACACGCAAACTTATAGTCATGATGAAGGTGTAAAATAGTCCCAAACATAACTCCGGCGCGCTCGCTTACATGTTTCGCGGGGTTGAGCAGCACGCACGCGCATGAACGTGCTTAATCGATGATCGATAAGGTTTATCGATTAAACGTGTTATCGACAATTAATCGATCGTCGATTAATCGTTGACATCCCTAGTATGATCATTTCTGTAATTTTATTTAGATTCCCTTTCCCGTAATCTAACAAGCTCGCTTAAAATTAAGCTTTAAAAACATTAATAACTGAACAACACTATTAAATGAGATCTTTAGCTAATGATACTGTTGTACATTGTAACATTGTGATGCTGGAATTTACTCGTCACATTTAAAATGATTTATTTTAGTTTTTCATGAATAGCATAGAATTGTAATGTCAGTGTATCTGTATCAGACAGAATTTGAACCAAATTTCATGGCTCATGTCTGAGTGGCTTTTAATAAAGTTTACGACTATCAACAAGACGTCAGAGGTTAAAAGTCTTTCAGAGCTGATAGTTAATGTTATTTTTTGTTAGCTCTGATAGATAACTGTTAAAGTTAACTGTTGATATAGGCCTAATGTTTGAGGCTTGATGTCTGTTGTGTAACAGTCCATGTTGCATAGCAGTGATATTATAATACTGTATCTTTCTCACCTGCCCTGTCTGGCTGCTTTTTCCCTCAGTGTGAGCAGCAACAATTGAATCTCTGCTTTTAGCAACTCTTTAACAGCCGGGGGGTCAGCCAGAGGGAACACAGGGGCTTCTGGCCTGCTGCCCTGCTCTGAGTAATGGAGCTCCAGCCAAATCTTCTCCCACATCTCCACCTAGAACAGGTCAACAGAGGAAAGCGTTAACAGGAGAGTGCTATTTGGCTCAGCTTTGTATGAAATGCACTTTCCAAATCCATGTTACAAGCTGCTCTACAACTGGAGAAATGCAGACAGTTGGTTAACATCCCATCACAAACGTCTCTTATCTCTGAAATGGGCATAAGAAACTGGAAATTTCAGAGAATATAGAAAAAAAAAAAATCCATGTGTTTTTCTGACAAACGCTCCACCACGTGAGGTGAAAAGCCAGCTAGGGAAATGAAAGCCTGTCAAGGCACTGGCAAACAATGTCTGCACTCTATTACCAATCTCCACACCTGTCTTGGGACGTTCAAGTTTCCCTCGGACTCTGAAAATACACTTCAAAGCTTGTCGAAGGCAATGCAAGACGGAGTAAAACCAGCTCCCTGAGAATTCTGATCCTGCTGTGCCTGCATGAAACCAACTTCAAGCCTACATAACTTCAGCTTCTTCTTATTTCCACTCCAGAACCTGGGGTTTAGGATGTGCACAGGCACCGGAGAGACATTTCTGTGAGGATGCAGGCTTAAAAATGACCTAAATGCAAACTTTGATACAAACGAACATTTTTCTTTTCTTGTTTATTGACTTTAATCTTTGTACTGAAAAATGTTCTCAAGGACAAGCTCAAAGGCAAACCGAGAGAGGAAAATTGACAGAAAAGCAAGAGTCTTAAAAGAGCAAAGTTCCTTGCATTTTTGTTTTGCAGCATAGCAGTTATAAACTTTACTGGTATTCAAAATAGGTCTTACTGGCAAGGTACGAAGCCCTTGGTTGATAAGACAATGCATTATCATAATCACTATTTGTAGTAAAAATGTATAAAATTCCCTTGAACACACATTCGAGGCATTGGTATGCCTTTCTATGTAAAAAAAAATCTCGTAAATCCTTATGAACAGCAGAGGGGGTTTTAAACAGAAGGTTATAAATTATATTTAGTGTTCAGAGGAAGGAGGAATCACATAAGTCTTCCATAGACAAGTTTCCACCCACTATTTCCATATGCAAATGGATGTCTGCTTATACTGCGTATGCAGTTTGTGAAAGACAATTTATCTTTGAAAGAGTCAGCTCTGAAACAGTCCCTGTATCTGTTCAAATAAGGTTTGCATTCCATGCACTGATTCACTCATGAGAGTTGTAATTCAAAACTGGTTTAAAGTTACACGTCAGGGGTATACTAGCACACTTGTTGATGGAGACTTTTCTCAGTGTATAAAATCATAAAACAAATGCATTGATGAATGCACACACACACACACATATATATATATATATATATATATATATATATATATATAATAAAATATCAAACATTAAATATTAAATGTAGCCACCGCCTGAAGGGATGTTTCCATTTACCTTTCAAAAGCAAAATTAACGTACTGTATTAACATCAATAGGTGAAGACATGAATTATGTAGTCTGGGCTTTACAGTTATTTTATAAAAGATTAAATGATTGACCTATTATAGACTTTCAGCGATCACATTCTGTTCTATCTTACTAGACAGTCTAATGCATAAATGCCTCATACCTCTGAATACAACTCTGCGTACGTATCAATCAATGCATCTCCAAGTACTGCTCGGATCTCAGGAAGCTCAGAGCTGGGAACATTTTCCTTCACTAAATTCCACACAGATTGTTGGCGTTGGAAATTGTCCATGAGGCCGCTATTTCCAGGACTGAGCACAAAAAGCTCACCACTAGAGTGCATTCGGTGTGCCCATACTGGAGACAAAAGCTGTAAATATATACATAGAAAAATGAATAAATCCCTACAAACATTTCAGAATATAATACAGCATTCAACGGCAGTGGTGCATTGTACAAAGGGAAAGAGCATGCTAAACAAACATATTGGGTAAATAATGACCTTATTAATTAACTTTGGCAATAACACGTTAAACTAATAACGTAGGCCTATTTGGTGGCTTTAAACGTTCACGATAATGAATCGAACAAAGATTTTAGCTGGCATACATTTGTGCAAGCATAAACATTAGTTTTAGAACAAGCACATTCCCCGCTGGCGGATAGGCTACTCACCAGAACAATTGTGGCTTCCTGTATCAGTGTAAACATTCCTGTTCCTATGGAGACAAACTTGCGCAGTCAAACGATTGGCTGAAGGACTCGTGATAGTGATCTTCATTAACCCGTTCGGACCTAGTGCACATTACAAATGACCTCATCTTTTTTCTCTTCAGTGATTGAATCATATTAATATTTGATATTTCTTAAGAGTTGTATGCCTGAATGTAGGATTTTGCATTAACTTTTTTTATAATATAAAAGTAACAATCCAAGTCAAATAACAGCACAAGTTGAAGAGATATCCCTCACAGCCTCGTTTTCATTCATGTTAAAAATCGAAGATGGCGCTGTCATCATGGACATGATCTATTAAAAAATATAATAAACTTTCATCTTTATTCATTAGCATGTATAACTTCATTTAGAGTAGAAAGCATTGTGGTGTCACTGCAACATGGTTCTGTTCTAAAAGTTATCCAGCAAAAAGATTGGACAATGCACAGTAGATATAGCTGCATAAAACGAGCTTAGATTATAAAAGCAAACATAACCATTTTAAACTCTCAATAGACACACAAAGCTGCAATAAAAGCGAATGACTACTACAGCCTATCAATATTCTGGTATTCGGCTGTCACGTGTAAATTGAAACATAACCCAGGAGGAGTAAAACTTTCCCTGTGCGCAACTGCATCCAAAGCGCGCACAGCCCATTCTGACCATGAAACGCATTTTAAACTTTATCCAGTTTAGTTAAAAAGACGTGTGCAATAGCAAGTTATTGAAGATAGCATAGCAATATATATTTATTGGCAAGTCTTGTTTTGGGACTGAGAAGTTTTCGGTGATGGGCATGGCTGTACTCTGGGGTTCCCCGGGGAGTTTTCTTCATGTCTCGCTTACCCTGTTGATCTGTGGCCAGTGTGCTGTGGCTTTCTCGGGCGCTGGACAACAAGAGAGGACCTGTGAGGCAAACGGCAGTGTTTATTATGTTGGCGAATGGTACTTTTTAGACTCAGATCATTGTACCCAATGCGAATGTACAACAGACGGGTCTGCTTGCGCGCGGACTGAGTGCGCATCCCTGCCTGCCGCCTGCATCCATGTCAGCCATTACCCGAAGGACTGCTGCCCGATATGCGAGAAGATCGGCTGTGAGTACGGGGGAGAAGTCTACGAGCTGGGGCAACACTTTCAGGTGAACTTCAATGTGTCTGTAAGACTCTGCATTCAAGGTCACATAGTAGAAAGAAAGAACAAACATTTGTAACAAAATTACAATATGTGTACACTAAGTTGACGGATTTAGGTCTGAATGCTTTCTAACTTTATATTTTTCGTTGTAATTGCTCTTTTTCGAGCCCTTAACATAGTGACCAAATAAAAGTGTAATAATACACCGTAATTCCATCGGCAATAATTGTTTTAAGATGAGTGACCAGGTCCCTTTTTTCACTGTTTATTTAAAAATGAAATGCGATGACTGTTTCAAAGGTTTGATATTGGTCCTAAAAGGAAAATTCTGAATATGTAGCGCCATCACGTGGCTCATGATAAAGTTAAAGGGACAGTTCACCCAAAAAATTAAATATTTGTCATAATTTACTCACCCTCATGTTGTTCCGAACCTGTATGAGTTTCTTTCTTCTGTTGAACATAAAAGAAGATATTTTAAATAATGCTGGTAACCAGTTCACGGCACCCATTGACTTCCATAGTATTTTTTTTCCCCTACTATAGAGGTCAATGGGTGCCGTTAACTGTCTGGTTACCGACATTATTCAAAATATCTTCTTGTGTGTTCAACAGAAGAAACAAACTCATACAGGTTTGAAACAACTTGTGGGTGAGTTTCATTAAAATTTTTGGGTGAACTATCCCTTTAATATTGTCTCCGTTATGGAGATTTTAATGAATCTGAGGGACTCTTTTGGCAGGTTACATCTGTGCGCCAGTAGGCCTATGTGGCAAAGCGTGAGTGTTTAAAGAGTGAGGGTGTTATTAAATCGTTCACTGAACCGATTCGGTAAAACGCTGAATTGACCGAAACATTTAAATGAATCTAGTCAAGGATCTGCTGTGCTGAGAAATCTGTAGGTACGCAAATTTGGAGTCAGTCAACTCTTCGTTTTCAAATTAGCACATTGTTCAGTGAAAGGGGATTTGTGCAACATGTTCTGCTCTTGAGGTCCATCTAATGAAATGCTCCTTAAAGGGAGAACGATTCATTAATTCACAGATGAAATAGCACTTAGTAAATTTGTTTCCGAAACAGACATTCCTATTTAGATCACTGATTTAGCACTATTTATGCCACTTTGTCATTTAAAGGGTTAGTTCACCCAAAAATGAAAATTCTGTCAGTAATTACTCACCCTCATGTTGTTCCAACCCCATAAGACTTTCGTTCATCATCGGAACACAAATTAAGATATTTTTGATTAAATCTGAGAGCTGTCTCACTCCTCCATAGACTTCTATGTAATTGAAACCTTCCGGCCCAGAAAGTAAATTAAAACATTGTTAAAATAGTCCAAGTGACTACAGTGGCTCAACCTTAAGTTTATCAAGTGACGAGAATACGTTTTGGGTGCAAAAAACTCAAAAATAACGACTTTATTCAACTATTCATTTTTTTCTATGTGGGCCTCAGAGTGAGTTCACGTAGTGTAACAGCGCACCGCTACGTCAGAACGTAGGCTCACTATTGGCCAGCATCACACTCATGACCAGCGTCGGCCAATAGTGAGCCTACGTTCTGACGTAGTGTTGCGCTGTAAAAATACGTGAAAGTAAACGGCCTCACGTTATGTCAATCACGCTTGCACACTGCCTCCGAAACATTCGTGCGTCATAAAAAAAAATCGAATCGGGTTCGATTTTCAGCATTTTTCGCATCCGTAGCAAGCAGTTTGAATGGTGTTTTGACAATTCAGAGCCACCAAATCACGAAAATGAAAAAACGCATACGAAAATTTAGGACTCAGTGTGCAAGGGCCTTTAGGTGTGATCAGGGCCTGAGACAGTTGTCAGATTTAATCAAAAATATCTTAATTTGTGTCCCGAAGATGAACGAAAGTCTTACGGGGTTGGAACAACATGAGGGTGAGTAATTTTTGGGTGAACTAACCCTTTAAGTTGGATTAAAAAAAAAAAAAAAATTACTCAGAACAAAAGTAGCCCTTTGTTTCTGAAAGATAATAGTTTGATTTGAGCCAATTCCTAGTACATATCCATTCTTATGCATATTTAATCATTGTGCAAGTTAAAAGCTAATACAGTAGGTTTCTTGTTCTGAGTCAAGGTGAAGTACAAATCTGATGCACACTAGACTGGAATCACAAAGGGCAATTTAATACTGTTTAAGGAATTGAAGAATGAAATATCTCTGGTGGCAGAGGCATGGAAGAAGCGGGGCTTATATGTGCTTCATTATCTCCTTGATTTGGTTATTATGGCTAATGGGGAATCCCTGAAGGGAAAATTGAAGCCTTCTGACAGACTCCAAGGAATACACTTTGCCTGAGCTGACATCATTTTCTTCCAGTCCATTTAACCCAACCTCCAGTACTGTCTGAGCCACAGGTGGTAATGTGGCTCCTACTTAAACAGCCGTGTGGGAGTGCAATTTGATCACATTTTTCACATTATAGGATATTTAAACGCTGTCTTGGATTGGCACAACATCAAATGTCTGCATTAAGCGAGCAATTTGATAGTCCTGCTGGTTCTGTTTAAAAAGCCTTTTGAAAGAATAGAGTAATACATGTCTTTTGATGGAATTGCATCATTTGGTAAGCTATTTTCAACTGATGATTTGCACTTGATTTACAGCCCTCAGCATGCCATCATTGTACCTGTTACAGCGACGGTATCGCCCACTGTCAGGTAGCAGACTGTGTCCCTCCACCGTGTGTTAATCCAGTCTATCAGAAAGGGATATGCTGCCCTCAGTGCATGGATGGTAAGGTTATTTTAGAATTTAAAAGAAAACTTTGCCATGTCTGTAAGGCTGATTAAACTTCTGTGCAATTGCCTCGGTCTCGACTAATGCAGTATGACATTCTCATAGCCTCCACACATAAATGGAGGGCACAATTGTGTTTGGTCTTTGGTAATGATGCTGTATGTAATATCTTCATATAATTCATTCAATAACAGATGGGGAGGTTCAGATGCCGGGCCATGTGCTACACTGGTTTCTGCACCTGAAATAAGATAACGCTCCTTATGAGTTTACCTTTCACCGTATTGTTTTCTCTGTACACTGTGAAGTATGAAGGCAATTATAGTGTTTACAGAGACTAAAGATAAGGCAGGCAAAACAACACAACACACATAAATCAAAGCATATACTTCACCAATGTGATAAATGATCAGTTCCTCAAATGGTTGCATTTTTGTAGATACAAATTGCCTCAGTGTTGGAAAATGTTAAATTAAGTTTTCAGTTAATCTAAAGTAACTTTAAAATTAAAGTAAAACCTTATCTTAAACATTAAACAGAAACAAGCAATGTGCCATTATCTACACTCTAAGGCTTCCTAATTAGTGGTTCTTGCTGAGGTTTTGCAAAAACACTTGACCTTAAGTATTTCAATTCTGCACATAACTTGTCTAGCATAGTTTGTGCTACAGACATGAATGTTACGTAAAGTTGTGCGGCCTTTTGTGGAGAGGTGATCTGTTACTTTTCTAAGCATTCTGAATTTCAATTTTTACAATTCGGATGATAAAACAGGAGGGAGACTTGAGGGGTTTTTCTGACATGGACCAGAAAGCAACTTAATTATAAAGCTAAAAACACAATATATGCACAAGGTATAAACTAAATATATTTATTTATTTTTAATTTACCCCCTCAACAACTATTGTTTAAGAAAAAAAAAAAAAAAAAATCTGGAATCACAATTAATTTGGGTTAATTCAAAATATTGACACTCTCAGTTTCTCTTAATTTTTTAAAGTTCAGAGCATACCAGAAGAAATATTATATGTGGATGGCCTTCAAATACTGTGTTGGGACCCTCAAGTCAAGATCTGCCATTGTTTGGACAAACAGATAGTCTCGTCCCAAAACTCAAATTATTGGTTGAGTTAGTGTTGCAGGCTGGTTAGGGTCAAAAGGGGGGAATAATTCACCCTTTATCTACAGATAATGGGCTTCATTAATCATCTCTCTCTTTATGGCTCCAGGGCCCAACTGTTACGTGAATGCCTCTAGGACCCAAGTGATCCCTGGAGGTGAGCCAGTGTGGGTCGACTCCTGTACTAAATGTCGATGTCATGAAGAACAGGATGCAGGTTATTGGGAGGGCCACCGTCTGGCAATGTGTTCCCATGTCCGCAACTGCCAGCCTGATGAGGGCTAAACTGAGGAAAGAGGTCAAAAATGGGGTCATCTGTCATCCCAATTTACACAATGGATGACAAAAACTCAGCAGATATCTTCCTGATGAAAGTGTTGAGGATATATAGCCTACAAGTTTTTAATGATTAAAGAACAGTCTATTATTAGTTAATTAGTTTTATGATGTCTTTACTACCTTTCTGGGGCTTGGTAGTTGCGTATAGGCTGTCAATGGAAGAACAGAAAGCTCTCAGATTTCATTAAAAAGGTCTTTATTTGTGTTCCGAAGATGAACAAATATCTTGCGGGTTTGGAACTACATGAGGGCGAGTAGTAATTAATGACAGAATTTAAATTTTTGGGTGAACTAACCCTTTCACATTCCAGTTGTTCATGTAAATTGAGTGGGTATATTATTTCTTTGACTTACTAAGGGATATTCCCTAATGAACCAGGTAATAGAGCTTAGTTTTGAGACACCTTTTTGGCATGGTCATAAATAGCACAGTGGGCATATTACATTGTTCATATCATGCCTTTTAGTATCTACAGTGCGGTTGTGTTTAAAAAACTTTGACATTGGGCACGGTGCAGATGCGGTGATCTTACGCTAATCTTTGTGATTGTTTTTTTTTATATTTAAATCCGTATATGATTTGTAGTACTGTTGTTTACATAGTTTTCTGCTTCAAATGCATGAAAACCAAAGTATATTCAGATTTCAAGACTTACATTACTGCTATGCAAGCATGGAAACAGCTAATGTAGCATGAAATACAAACAAACTAACCTATCATAAATGAATCATTTTTGCTTTATTTCTGTTCTGACACTTCATTCAAAGCTGTGGGAAAATTGCTACTTTTTTTCGAGGCCTGCATTTGCAGCAATGACACAGAATGTACACAAATATAAATAAACCACAAGTGATCTATGTGTCTTGTCTTATTATCCCATATATAAATCTGGAGGATGTTTGTGGTGTTATATCTACTAGTTTATTGCAACATCTGTCACATAAAAAATAAAAAAAACTTTTTGAGGAACATATTATTGAGTTTCCTCCACATGGCTGACAGTTTAGAGATACGATGTTCCCTTTCCAATAAACTGCCATGTCCCAGAGCAGTGATTTGGACTGGTGCTGGTAAAAGGTGGGTGTTATAATAATCAGGTGTAAATATGAGATTTATTACTTTGTTCAGATCCATTTAGCCTCATAACAGTCTTCTTATAAACTCCATATTTTTGCACACACAAACAGCATGAACATATGGCATTCTACATTCGTTCCACCCCAGAACCCCACCATCAAATTCTTGTAGCATCAGATTTATTGATTGTATACAAAAAGTATGTTTGATATGACATAATGCATTCTATATAAGATATAGTATTTTTGACATTCAATGTACAAAAAACCTAGCAAGTCTTTAAAAATGTGCCCCAGACATGAAGACCTGAGGCCGTCAGTAGTTTCTTACGCAAGTCATTGTGTAGGTGTGGAATACTTTCCCACTTCTGTCCCTCTCTCACATAAACAAGCATCGAGCACAAGATGGAGTTCTTTCCAGAGAATGACTGAGGGCAAAAAGGGAGATGAAGGAGAGAGGGTGAGCATTACGTGTAACTATATGTGTGCGCGCGAGTTCTCAGGATGGGAAGGTTTGCTGACCCAAGGGTGAGATAAAAGAATGGCATCACAATAAAAAGCGCATTCATTGTGGCACTGGTGTGATTTCGCAAACTATAAAGCGAGAGTTGCTGAAGTGAATGGTGAATAGCATCCTAATCTCAAGGACAGCATTTGTGCTTCGCAAGGTTGGCAATGGGAGTTGTGCGAGCTTCACTTGATTGCATTTGTTGGCACAAGAAATATGAAAAACGTATTAATGGAACAATAAGATGATTGTATACATGTGTAAATGTATATACTTTTATAAACGGCAATATAACATTTCTAATATTATTGAATTCCATTCAAAAGACTAAAGAATATATCTATAGCGTAGACTTTAATGCAGCTTATTTGCCACTGGGGCAATATAAGAATGAAGTAAAATCAAATTAATAGATTGTATCACCAGACTAACTTTTAAAAATGCAGTTTTCACCATATACATTTTTCAGAACATTGCCCTTAAAGGTGCACTCAGTAATTTTATAAATATGTAGGTAAAGGAAATCTCTCACAAAGCCTGCAAAAACAGTAATATTGTGAAATAATATTACTAATTAAAATAAAGGTTTTCTATTTTAATATATGTTAAAATGTAATTTATTCCTGCGATGGCAAAGGTAAATTTTCTGCAGCCATTTCATATTAGAAATCATGCTGATTTGGTGCTCAAGAAACATTTCTTATTATGCTGTGCTGCTTAATATTTTGTGGAAACAGTGATACGTTTTTTTCATTATTCTTTGATGAACAGAAAGTTCAAAATAACATTTTGAATTATACTTATACATTTATACAATTATACATTTGATTATAAAGTTCATAATAATATTTATTTTAACAATTATATACGTAAAATGTATTTATTGTCACTTTTGATCAATTGAATTCATTCTTGCTGAATAAAAGTATCAATTTCTTAAAAGAAAATGAGAAAAAAAAACTTCCCCAACATTTTGAACAGTATATAGCTAACTGCCCTACTGAACAATTTCACTTGTGAAATAAATTAGTCATGGTAGCATAAATCTATGATGATCCATATCAATCAGTGCAACCAACAAAAATGACTGAGTACACCTTTAAATTGAGAGGTATAAAAATAAAAAGTTCCCCAAAAAATGACTACACATTAAAAAGTATCATGGTGTGTCAGGCCTGATGTGTGTCTCTCCAATATGTTGGACCCTTTACACCACATGGACTGCTTTATTCCATTTTTTAAAACAATTAAGATAATGTAAATGACAAGCACTCAGCAACATTTTTTTTTCCTCCTTCAATTTAATACGTGCCTTGATACAAGAACCCAAAAAAGAAATAATCTCATCTCGCTCCGACTCAAACAGATTCCTTTTCATTCGCCAAGATATTTCGGGATGAGCATAATGTCTTTTCAATATGGATATTGGCTTGAAATCTCATTCGAGTTAAAAGTTTCAGGATTCACTGCATTCTGCAACACTGTTCTGAGCATTTAAAATACAGGTCACAGAGCTATAGTAAATATTACTGAATATAATCAATGAACAGTTCTGAATATACTCGACTATGTGCAAAGAGAGGGCATATTTCTTTAAATTAAACTATAGACATAATCTTTAATGCTATTAATACAGGAAAAAGAGCTTAAGGCAAAATTGTGTCAGGTAAGTTTTAGCAGTTATTTTGCTTGATGGTGTATGTACAAATACGGCATGGCAGAAGTGATGCACTTTTAACTGACAGGTAGTGGCACCTATGAGACAGAGGTGATGAAATACTTAAGGAGGAAACCAATGTAACACAGTGACTGCTTGGGTCAGCAGTTAAGACAGCACAAATGCACACACAGAAATGAAATAGGTTGGTGAGGCTAAACTGAAAGGCATGAGGAGAAAAGAAGAGGAAATGTGTATTTTAAAAAGGTCAGGGAGAGTGGCTGGGCTCTCATTAATGACTTCCTCTGTGCTGGGCTGAAAGAATCGTTGATAGCACAAAAGAACGTCCTGCACACACTGCGCAGGAAAGCCGATAAGAGAGAAAAAAATAGCTTGTGCTCCCTTCACATTTACCCCTCATAAAACATCTGAAGGCATCAGCTTGGTGTTTTCAGGCAGTAAAATAAAATGGTAATAAGGAACTGTAAAACAAGTTTTCAAAGTGTAACGGGGTCCAAAATTAACATTCGCCAAATGCCAATTGCGAGTAAAAAAGGACAATGACACTGGATACATTTTTTTTAAGACTAGTCCAATCTTATGTTCATATATGATTTTGTTTTTATATATGTTTTTTGTCCTCCCGAACTCCCGATAAATTATCGTTCAAAAGTGTGGGGTCGGTAAGATTTTTTTTTTAATGTTTTTGATCAAAATCTCTTGTTTTTGATAAAAATGCTCACCAAGACTGCATTTATTTGATTAAAAATACAGTTATTAAACAGCAATTTTGAGAAATTAATTTGAATTTTTAGCAGCCATGACACAGTCTTTCTTCAGTGTCAAGAGATCCTTCAGAAATCACTCTAGTATGCTGACTTGATCCTCAAAAAATATATAACAATACTGAATTAAAGTATTAATTTCTTAAATAAAATTTTTTTCCAAGACTCTACACATTAAGATATAGGCCTTGAAGTAAAACTGAAGTAAAATAGGACTTCAAGTTATGACATTTTTACAAATCAACAAAGGCTGAATTCAGCTCCTTCTAATGATCTGTGCTCTCACAAATATGCTAAAAAATCTAAAATAATTCTTCCTTTGTCCTCGACAAAAACTTATAAAAAATGCCAATATTAATTCCTGGCCAAAAAAAACATAATTGGGGTCTGTAAATTTTCTCAATTCACTCAAATTGGCAGGTGTGGCAAAAGGTTGATTTTGGACCCTGGGTGAATATTTTATGATACTGGAAATATCAAACCATAATTTATATATAGCCTCAGTAAATGATCTTCAAAAGAGGTGCGAGACTCTAAGACTGAACGATATGGGCATTATTTGATCAATGCACTCATAACTAACTTCATCCTTCAAGTTTTTAAAAAGAAAGCATTGATATATGACAGGTCTAAATATGAATCTTTGAGGCAAATGAGAGTAAACAAAGAGAGAGTGCCTCGTAGCACAGTCAGTTTTGAGAAGGTGGTGATAGATACAGAGATTTGATCATCAGTAACTTCTACAGAAGCTCCTCTATCTCCAAGCGAAAGTTCTTGCCGTTTCTCCGGGCATCTACACGGCAGCCAGAGGATCTGCAGTGACGATCCACTTGGACCATATTGACTGACACAGTCATGTGCTTGTAGGACTAGTCCAGATCCAGTCTAATCACATTACATAATTGTCCCCCGAGTTCTCATGATAACATCGCGACGAGGATATCATCCTCAGAAATGGTGAGAAGTGTTTTCATGGTTGACGAAATTCAGC